ATGCATGGAGAGCATTCTACCCACTGATGTTGTATTTCTCACATCCTTTCATGCACCCTCCCCCAGTTATATTTTCTCTCTTACTTTTCCATTCCTCTATTTATTTTAAAGCCTTTCAAATCACTTCCCACTCCTTCCCACCACATGGGACATGCTGCTTTTTGTCTCCACTAGTTTGTGCTGAAGCAGCTTTGCACTGGAACTGCAAAGCTCTTCCAGGCAGTAACTCAGTCACCCCCACAGTGGGATGGGGAGGAGAATCACAAAAAAATTCTGGGTTGGGATCAGAACATTTGAATAATTGGAACAAGTGAAATATTATCATAATAATTACTAATTGAAATTTTTAAGAATAAAGCCCAACTGTTGCACAGTGCAGTTGCTCACCACGTGTTGACTGATGCCTGTCCCCAATCAGCAATGGGACCCCCTTGGCTAACTCCACCCATTTAAACCCTGAGACTGGCATTCCATGGTATGGAATATCCCTTTGGCCACTCCAGCTCTGCTCCCTCCTGGATTTTTGTGCTTATCCTCACTGGCAGAGCACGGGAAACTGAAGCGTCATTGACAGAGGGTAAGCAGTAGTTAGCAACAACGAAACTTCTGTGTTGTATCAACACTATTCTCCAAAGCACAGCTGTGCACCAGCTACCAGGAGGAAATGAACTCTGCCCCAGCCACAGCCAGGGCACTGGGGAGGGGATGGTTCTGGGGCTGGGGCTGGGGCAGCCCCCCAGCACCTCTGGCTGAGGGGGTGGCACTGGGCTCTGTGCAGAGATGCACAGTGGGGGAATAAGAGACACTGGGTAGGAACTGAAATAGGGGGGGGATACATCCAACCAGTTATGAAGAAGGAAAAAAAAAGTCATTAGTCAATAATTTGAATGAATTTCATTGTGTGGAATCTCCATACCCAAGGGTTTTCAAGACTCACTGGGATAAAGCCCGAGGCAACACAGTCTGAACCAATTTGATTTATAAGGTTTGACTAGACAACATCCAGTATAATATCTGAATAATTTCATGATTAAAGATTTTTCCTAGTGCTTTATGTCACAGAATGATTGTGCCAACTAGTACATTTACACTGTATTTTGATTTATTTTTAAATTATAATGTGAAATGGCTTTGACAAATGCGTGGTCATTCGTCTTTAGCATCGTGCTCCACTTTTCTGTTTGTTAAAATTATTTCAAAACATACTCTGCACTCTCAGATTTGAATGAAATTCTGCTTAGTCTATTTTAAACATCTCGTGTTGTGTTAATCTGTAGAGCTGTACTGCCAGTGAAACAAAGTGTTATAAATCATTACATAAACATGAAAACTGTTTTCAATGCATTACATTAAAACATTTCCCACTAAGGGGGTCAAGTTTTATTTTGCTGTTTTGGGAGAAAATAGGAGAACCAAACTCTTGACATGTGGAGAAAGGAGAACCCTGATTTCACCATTCATAGCAAGTGATGCTGCTCAGAGTTCCTCCTTTTTTTGCTACATAGTCCTGTGATTAAACAAAACCAAACTGATCACGTAACAAAGGTACTGCTGAAAATTCATGAGCTAATCACTAGTATTGATGTATGGCTCCTAAATAGATCAATTATTGTTTAACATGTCTCAGTAACTGCAGCAGCTATACAAAACAAATAATAGAAGACAGAAATTTAAGACAATACATCACCTGAAACCAGGCATTTCTAGTGGATAGCAGAGCCAGACATTCAGTAATAACTCATGCAAGGATCTGCTAAGTAAAGTTACAATTCTGGTTATTGGGGTAGTGGGAAAATGAGCCTCACAGCTGTTTTAGAACCCATGGAATGCACAGCTGGAGACACTAAACTAGCTCACGAGTTTCTGTGTGCCAGGATGTCCCCTTGAATTGTTAGGACAAGATGTACTCTGCAAGTTAAATGCTTGAAAACCTTTTTCAGAAACTCTGTGTATCTCACAAGAAAAGACATGGAAGACTTGAATCTGTTTAATAATGAACCAGAGCTGAGAGGAACCTGAGGATGACATCCTGAATGCTGCTCGGAGAGGGTCAGTCTGAATCAGACACCAGCAAAGAGTCGCTCTCAGCAGTATAGGCTGGCATAGGATTTAAGAGCAATAAAACAATTAATCATGGACAAATAATTATCTGACTGCTTTTGGGATTTCTTTTGCATTCTGGAGGATGAGCAGAGCCAGACCATGTTAGCGTTCAGGTGGGGAAATCTGAGAACATGAAGAAAGGTACAGCTACTCCTGCAGAACATCGATGGTGGGACACACTTTTCAGATGGTCACAACATCTTACAGGGATTTTCAGTAAGCTGCTTCACCCTGCTGTCATTCTCTTAATGCTTTGTCTTAATTGCAGCACCGAATATTTGCATCTGAAAAATCATGAAGCAATTGTCTTGCCAGTCATCCCTGTGATTAATTTCGGGAAAATGTGTGATATTCATAAAAAGTGAAGGGTTTGAGTGCTGTTGTGGCTTCATAGCCTCAACTGGAGGAAATGATGAACAACTCCCTAAAAGATAAATTATATTTAATGTGTCTCAGTAATTGCAGCAGCTGTAGGAAGGAAAAAAAAAAAAGACTAGAAGAAACTTGAGATAATGTATCAATTGCAGCCAGGCATAACTTACTGCTGAACCAACACAACACAGAAAGGACGCTTGGTGAATAAACTAAGATAATGCCAAATAGCAAGGAACAAAGCAAGGCCAGCTCATCAAATCAGGAATGGATAATTTTGGCAAGGGGAGATCACAACCACTGACTCACCGCCCACCAGCCCAAAAAACTCACTGTCTCAAAAGAAGAGAAAGACTGAGCATGAGGACTAATTAGCAAAAGAAGTGAGAGAATAATTTAATCAATAGAAGATAAAATACTAGTTTATAAGAGAACTCTGTGACTTGTAGCCATTGAACATGAAAGCCTTTGTTTGTGTATAAATAGTGGAATGTTTTGATAGTCGCTGGGCTGGCTTTGTGGATTTGCCCCCCAGCACCTCTTTCTGTGCAGAACTGTAAATAAACCAAAACACTCAACTCTGTGTGAGGATCAGCCTATTGCAGGGTGAAAAAAGCTATTTTGGATCAAGAGTATGACTTAGAATCTCCTTCAGATTGATCTCCTGTACGATGAAGTGCAAGGACAGGGATGGTGAAAGAGGTCAGGAGAGCTTAGAGCTGTGGTGTCCTGCTGCAGCCCGTGCCCAGCCCCACTGTGTGTCACATTCTGTACCCACAGCCAGAGCCTGGAACAAATCCTCTGAGTCCCTGCCAGGTGCAGAATGAGGAAAAAGAGCTGGGTCCAGAGAAGTGTGACTGCTGTGCAGTCAGACCCAGGGACCTGAGAAAGGCAGTTTGAAACCCACCAGAACAGCCAGGAATCAAGAACAGCTGAACAGTCGAGGCAAAGGGCAAAACCAGAGGGAGTGAGAAGCAAGGGAGGATCCTGTATCCAGCTTGGAAAGCCCCTGACTGAACAAAGTATACTGGTATTGTTTCACAGCCTAGAGCCTATTAACAACAAAGAAAAAAGCCCCAAAACACAAAATATTGATGGCAGGAGAGCAAGGACAGCAGAAGAGCATGCATCCTGACCCAGTGATATTGAGAAAACACCTCAAGGTCATGAGAAACAATTTGGAATTGTCCTGAACCAGTGCATAAATCACACTGTGTGTCACTTTTCTGCCTTGTCACCCACATCCAACAACCTCTGGCAGCCAAGGCACAGCCCCACATGAGTGGTGGCAGGGTTTGCCACCCTGGCTGGGATGGAAAGTCTCACTGGGAGGTGGAAAAAATACTTCTGTGGAGGAGGCCCTCACCCACTTGCTTTTTGCATGGAGGGATGAGGAGGCTGAAAGGATCCCCTGGATGGCACAGGACCAGCATCCTCATCAGGCAACAGCAGTGGGAGTGGGGCACAGCAGCTTGAACCAGCAGGTTCTGCCCCAGGTGTGAGTGAAATGATTCAGCTGTTGCTCAGTTATTTCCAAGTACCTCTGCCATTTGTCTCTGACATCCTATTATACAGTAGAGCCAAGGAAGGAGGAGCTTAGCTGTGCTGTGAGGAGTTTCATTTCTGCTATTCACTAAACATACAGGGAAATGAAAGGAAAACAACCCAGCACATTGCATTATTATTATTATTTCCAGAGTTATCACGAAGCTGTCACCTTAACAGTATGAATTTCACATTTGCCTGACAGAGCCCCTCTAAGGACTTTCATGGAGACAGTTTAGTCAAGAATTGTGTTTTGAGTTGTAGCAGAATTGTCTTTCATAAATGCATTTGCTGCATAAGTGCTAAATATCCTAAGGCTACACAGTGATTAATTAATAATTCACAAGTCACTAAAAGTTCAGCAATAATTAAGCTTAGTTCCACCTTGGTGTCCTCTGCTGAATAGCGGTACAGAGAAGACTGAGATTTTTACAAGGGCAGGTAGTAATAGAACAAGGCTTTAAATTGAAAGAAAATAGGTTTAGATTGGATATTAGGAAGAAATTCTTCCCTGTGAGGGTGGGCAGGCCCTGGCACAGGGTACCCAGAGAAGCTATGACTGCCCCTGGATCCATGGAGGTTTCCAAGGCCAGGTTGAACATGGCTTGGAGAACCCTGGAATAGTGGAAAGTGTCCCTGCCCATGTCAGAGGGGTGGAACAAGATCATCTTTATGTCCTTCCAACCCAAACCATTCTAGGGTACTCTGTCTCTCTGAACTTCTGGCTGTGAGGCCCCCCCTTCACTGTGGACACAATTCACGTGTTAAGATATCCATGCCCTTAACTGAGCCAGGTGCAAGGTAAGTGTGGGCCCACTCATGGCAACTCTGTCTTTTGAAACAGCCTGGTCATTGCCACATAAGCCAAGTATTTCTCCTGTGAGAATTAGTTTCATTTCTCCTGTTGCATGTCATAATCAGAAGGAGGAGCCTGCAAAGGAAAAGGCATCTGAAGAAGTTTCAGAAAGTCACTGCTTCTCCTTCCTACAGGACACTTACCAGGGTAAGTTTCTTCTTTCCTTCTTCTAAAAAGAGTAATGCAATTTTTTACTGTTATCTTCGTTCCTTTTAATGTGACTTTTTAAAGGCTGCATAAAGTGTCTAAAGTAAGTGTGATTAAACAGGGTTGCCAGGAGCAGGATTTTTTGCTTTCTGGGGTGGGAAAAAAAAAGAGAAAAGATGTCAGTATTGTTTCCTCTTTAAAAGGAGACAACTGAGAGATGGCATTTAATTTTCTTTTAAAGCCATTATTCAGCAAGATGATCTAGCTGGCAGTATTTATGAGGATCATAAGCTTTGCATTGCTTCATTTTCTTTTATGAGAACACAGCTAGAGTTAATAAAAATAATGGAAACTGTGAGGTTTACCCAAACATCCTGAAGTCAGAGGATGTGTCAGCCAGAAGTCCATGTGGTTCTCTGGCTGGGCAGAGTGGATAAATCATGCTCTGTGGGTCCAGCACTGCAGCTCTGCACCTTGGGATTGAGAGGGGATTTTTTAGAAGGGGCTTTTCATCTTCTACAGATACAAAGCCAAAGGGTCATTACAGAAAACCAAAGCAACTCCTTTTCAGAACCATCAGCAGGTTGGTGTTTGTGCAGATGTGGGTGTTCTGCTGGGAGAGGTTTCCCACACACAAGCAGGCAAATTCTAAAGGTAAAGCTCAAGGAAATCAGTATTGTCCTGACAAAGGAGGCAGGGGCAGCTCTGGTCAGAGGAAATTCTTGGCAGACTTTCAGTATTATCACATCATCCACGTGTCATGTTTCACAGGTGGATTCTGGCCCATTGTAGAAGGTCTCTTTACAATTGCAGCTTTTTTGTTTTCCTCTCCTCCCTTCTTCCATCCGATGTTGTCACGGCTCAGTACACAAAGAAATCACTATGCCAGTGTGGCACAGGGAAGGGTTACAGAGCCCACTCACCCTTTCCAGGTCCAGGGAAGAGCAGCAGTGTAGCCCCAGAAATCCACATGATTGTTTATTCCGGTGCTGGCTGCAGGATCTTTGTGCAGGGGTGTTGTGTGTGTGTGTGTGTGTGCACCCTGTGGTCTGCTCCCCATCTCCATGTTTGTAAAGGGTGACCTAAGATAGTCAGGTCTCCTCAGGCATCCTCAGCCCTCCCCACCTCCCTTCCACCTCTGTGATGGCCATGGGGTTTGTCCTAAGTAAACACACCAGGTGGGTATGGTGGGAGGTCTGGATGTTTGCATAATTATCTCAGTTCCTGATCTCTGGAATGAATTATTTGCAATTGACTTTGGTGCACATTGGCCACAAAAAGGATAAAAAATGCTGCTGGAGACTGGGCCAGCAGGACAAAGTGGTGTCACGAAGTTGCAGGACGTTTCTGGGTCGATTTTCCCCCCTCCTCATCACCTTCTCTCCCCACCAGGATGCTCACAAGGTACCTCCAGCTCCAGCGCTTTTGGACAGGTGTTAAAATACCCAAGGCCCACCCAAACACAGACATAGAATCCTACAGTAGCTCCAGATGTGCTTTGTTGCTTTGCAGTGGTGAATTCTGCAAGGCCAAAGATTGTAAATCTGTGCATTTCCACCTGAACCTAAAGGGCTCCTATTGTAGCCCTTTAAATATGGACTGCTGACCAAATCTGGGGCTAAGTGGGGTAGATGGTTGTTTGAGAAAAGAAAAAATCTAGCTTTGAAAAAGAATTCTTGGCTTTCTTTTTTTTTTTTTTTTTTTCTTTAAATCACTCTCTCTGGAAATCACCTTCCCCGGATAATGTCATGCCAAAAGCCACTGATTTCCTCAGTCACCCAGAGAAAACAAAACTTCTGCATAAGGAAATAAAACTTCTCCAAGTAAATAAAAAGCCTCATAGTTGTCCTTTCTCTAACAACATGTGAAGCAAAGTCTGCTCTTGGCAGAGGGTTTTAAGCTATAGAGTAGGGAACCAAGATACAGAACTTCAAAAACCAGTGTCAGACTTGCCTCTGACAAGTATTTCTTCCACAAAAAAGGTGAGATGGCCACTTAGCAGATTATGGATTGGAGCTAGCCCACAGCCCTACACTCCTGACCCCAGGAACTTAAGGATTCACACTCCCTCCAATCCTGCCCTGATACTGACTGAGCTTCTCCAAACACCATTCAGCAAAGTATTTCCTAGAGGACAATCAGCTTTTTGCAAAAATAGGTGTAACTTTTTTTTTTTTTTTCCCCAAAAAAACAAATACTATTTATTTCCATGGCACTTTTTTAATTAAAAAAAAAGGCATAAGAAAGGTAAGGAGAAGTGTTCCAAGTCTGTCCTCTGAGACCAATTTTTGTGATTTGAAAAGAGCTGTGGCACTTGGTACTGTTGTAGATACCTATTATATTATTGGTGAAACAGAAAAATTAAGAATTAGGAAGAAATGCTTGCCTAAAAGGGGTGTCTGACAAAAACCATACCCTGACACCCTCATCCAAAAGAACAGGAAAAAGAGTCAGACTGCAAGATGAGATAAGGAGCTGGAGTACGCAAACAAGATGCAAAGACAAAGGCACCACAAGATAAAGGAGACCTTAAGCCGGGAGAAACAGATTTGAAGCCCCAAAAAGTGGCCAAAGAACTGAAAGGGGCACGAGGCTAATTGTAATATGGAGTGAAGACAGGCGGGGTTAGGAAATTAATATGTATTAGGCGTATCGTGTAAACCTGATCTGTAAAGGATAAAAAGGGAAAACCTAATCAAAAAAGGGTGGATGCTTTTTGGAGGAGATATCCCCAATGCACCTCAGCGCTGAATAAATTCATACCTGCTCTTGTAACTACTCTGCGAGTTATGGGGTTCCTTTTATTCCGCACATCATTTTGGCGAGCCAGGCAGGAGGATCTCTGTCTGGCTGTGGGAGCGGCCGAGGAACAAATTCCCTGGCGCGCCCCCTGGACTTTCCGTGAGGGACCCCGAACCTCGGTTCGCTCACCGCGGGGACAGACAACAACCTGCCGGCCTGCGGATAAAGGTATGAATTAAATATCAAGGGAAAGACTGCTGGTAAACCGAACAGAGACGTCTGTCGTACAGCACAGTCCCTGTGGGCCTGCAAGCACCCGGCCAGGAGGGGCCGGGGACAGAGGCAAAGGGATCGATCCTGGCCGATAGCGCGGCCTATGAGGGGAGGGGGTTCTCGCTGAGCTGATAGAGCAGCCCGCTAGCGACTCTGGGGGTGAGTCGAGCGAACCCTTGTTTTGTGTGAATGCTAAGTCCGGACACGTTGAGTCACTGAGTGTGTTTGGTGTGTGAATGAGCGAGTGAGACACATGAATGAGCGGAGCGAGTGTGGAGCTCTATCCGCGGTTCCGACCTCGGGCGGCTGAGGCGGCCGGAGAAAGGCGAAGTGACAGGAGTCAGTGTGGAGCAAACCCAAGTGTAAATGAGGAGTGTTGTGCTGGAGTGCCAAGTGATTAATATTTGTTTTAACCGTGGGTAGACGCTGGTATTGTTGCTTTAACAACCATCAATGCTCCACGTGCAAAGTGAAAACTCTGAAGTTTGTGTGTGGAAAGTCAAATTAGGTACCCGCTAATTGAGATTGTGTATAAGAGGAGGACTGAAAAGAATTGTGCGAAGAGCTGTTTAAGTAATGTGGCAAGACAAGGACTAGATCTAGTAGTGTGTGGTAAATAGAGTGAACACAAATGAAGAGAAGCAAAAGTGATGACAGAATTTTTTACAGCCCAAGAAAGGAAAACATCAAGGGCCCAAAGAGTCTCCTGAGACAGAGGGGATGAAGTCGGCCACCAAGAAGTTTTATTCCACAAATCATTGGCTTTTCACAAATATTAAAATTAATGTTATTTGCATAATGTTAGAAAACTTTGCTGTATTAATATAGTTTCTTTTATTTCTGTTATTGATAAAACTTCGAAATTGTGATATAATACATATATATATGTTAGGCTGTAGCATGGTATTAAAATAAAAACTACTTTTGTTCATATAACCCAGAGACTGAAAAGATGATCAGGAAACCTCCCCTGCATTCTTAAATTCTTTTATCCAGATGAAGACAGCAGTGACTGGCACGCCAAAGGAAGAATTTATTGAACCTCTATTAATAATCAGGGAGTGTGAGACTCAACAGAGCCAAGAAGATTGATCTGCTGGGGATGGGGGGAGTTGAAGCTAAACAAAGTTAAAACTTAAGATAAATGTTTGAATCACATGTAAGAATTTATGAATATGTAATAGGATTCTGTTTTTAAGGAACAATCCTTTGTTAGTAAGATGTGCTCTCTTGGCTGAATGCTGAGGCACCCAGCCATATTTGTACATTTTGCTTTATTTCTGTCTCCTAACTGTCTTTCTATTAAACTTTATAAATTTTATATAAAAAATGTGAACATTGTTTTTCACAGTACCTACTAAGGGTTTGGATCAGGAAATAAAAGTGGTGTTTGATTTTCTCTGCTCTGATCCCTGTTGAAAGGTGGAATCACTCACTGCCCCATGTTTGTTTTCAGAAGCTGCACCTCAGAGTGGCTGGACCAGGCAGTGATCAAAGCATTTGTGGACAACCTGTGTGGAAGCCCAGTAAATTAGCAGGCCATGGATAAAATGAGAACACCATTCAGCAATCCTTCTGGAAGAACCAAAACCCCAAAGAAAGAGGGGTTTCAATTTTCTTCTGTGAAATCACTTCCAGAAGCTGCTACAGTGCCTCTCCCACCAGACCCAGAAGAAGATGCTGAGATATCAGAGAACATGTTTGAGAAAAGGCATAGGTGTGAACAGGAGGGCTTGGAGAAAGAGGTTTTTAGAGAAGAGGACAAGGTAAGTAAGGCAAGGAGAGGGAACAGATCCTTCCCACTCTCACTCTGTTGTTTCACTTTGTACCCCAAAATTAATTCCTTTGTCTCTTTGGGCAGTTTGCACTTTTTAGATCTAAGGAGAACTTTTGGGGTGAGGTCTAGAAGTTATTCATATAAGTAAGAGGAGAGGTACCTGCAATTAATCTGCAGACATTAATAATGCAGGTCTAAAAAAAAGAGGTGGCTGCAGCCTAGAAGCCAATTTAATGTGTGACATGTGTCTGTTTTGATCCTAGCAACAAATGTGGAACAGAAACCATAAAAGCTGAGGTGGTTCTTTTCTCCTTGAGGCTCTTCAACCCACAACAGAAATGTTAATAATAAATGTAATGTAAATAATGTAAAACACAGAAAAGGTTAATAATAACCTGCTTGGATATTTTACACTGAACACAGATTGGTTTTAAGTCTGTGACACAGTTATTGAAGTTTTTTGAGAATTTGCTAGGTATTAAATATTGTAGTGAAAAAGTGGGCAGGGGCTACCAAAAATGGTTTAAAATCCCTGCCTCCAGTAGTGTGTGCTGCCTTCCTCGTCTTGAACCAAAAAATCTGCTTTGTTTGAGTGCATCTGATCCATAGACATACTTTTGGAGGCATTTTTCTTGGATAAAAGCGATGGAGGAAACTTTAGTTTTTATTTTCAGAAAATCAGGTCTGAATGTGCCTGGCCTAATATGTCTGAAACATATTGGTGTTCCCAAAATTGCATCTCTAAATGCAGCAGTCAGACTGGAACATGGAGAGAGGAACAGGGAGAAGAGACCAAGATGATCTTTATATACTTTAGCTGAGCATATTTAATAGCAGATGGACCAGTTTTGCCAAAGACTGAAAATTATTTGTTTTGTTTTCACGTAAAGTAAGAGCCTGTGTTAATATCTGGACCTGTATCAAACCCAGAAAATGACAATAACCAGTCATTTAAAACAACCCACTCATATTCATGCCTTATGTGAGCCTAAAATGAGGCAAAGAAGGAAGAGCCATGATGGTCTAAAAGATTTCAGCCAACTGTTAAGAATGTTACAGCAGCACTCTTTTGGCGTCTGTGCACAAACTAAATCTTCAAATTCCGAAACAAAAATCTAATTAGCTATTTTTTGCCAAATTCAGTGATTTCTGGGATCAGTCTTCATTTGCATACACATCCTTCAGTACATCTGTGGATGAGTAGAAGAAAATGGCAGTTATTAAAGAAAACTGTTATTAAAAGAAATTAATAAAACACACTTATTAATGTGTTCTTTACTTTCTCAGGATGGCTTCCAAAATTTGGTATTTTTACTAAGGATGGTCTGTGAGCCAACCTCAACTGTTTCTTTCATATTTACAGACACCTGTTTATTACATGGAGATGCAAGGATGCACAGTGATATGAAGTAGAGCTTGATGCCAGTAATTAACTTGTACTAAAGAACGATGACTAGAAAATGCGTCTTGGTTTTTTTGGGGTTTGTTTTGTTTTGTTTTAAATTATGGAAAATTCATTGTAAGTTTAACTCTAGCAGGCTGCAGAACACACCTTGTACAACAAATATGAGGAAAAGATCCGACCCTGCATTGATCTTGTTGACAGCCTGAGAGCTCTTGGGGTAGAAAAGGACCTGTCCTTGCCTGCGATTGCGGTGATTGGAGACCAGAGCTCCGGGAAAAGTTCTGTCCTTGAAGCCCTGTCTGGTGTTGCTCTCCCCAGGGGCAATGGTAAGAATTCACTTTCTCAAATTTTCATTTTGATGAGGTGGAAGGGTTCTGTGTTTTGGGGTTTTTTTTAATTTTATTTTTTGGTCTAGAATTGGATAACTCCATGACTGAGAAATAGAGGTGTGAGTGAGGCACCACAGGGTAGATCCAAGCCACATGTTCCAGGTGGTCAGGAGACCAGGAGTAAGAAGTGTAGTGTAATTGCCCCAGCTGACTGTGCATTTCCCAGAAGCAGCAGTGCAGCAGAGTATTAATTTCACATGGAAAACCAGTTTTTAAAATTGTTTTTGGGGTTGTTTTAGGTTTTTTGTTTTCTTACAGATATCTTTTTTATTATTATTATGTAAAAAAAATGTACAAATATCTTTATCTTAACACATCATTTAAGTCAAAGATGATTGTTAGGAGACTTTACAACTCAAAAAGATCCATTTTCCAGCTGTGTGTATGTTTTTGCACACAAATTCTGCAAGTTCCATGTGAGTTTACAGTATAATCTAGTCCTTCAGGCTGGAGTTGTGCAAAGGTTTTTCATAGGATTTAGTTGCATCATTGAAACAGATCATCCAGAGGGGAGCAAAACTCCATGTGTGGAGGTTTGCAGGGCCAAACATGTCTGGAAAGAGCCATGGCTGACCTCACCTAGCACTGGTGACAGTCCTGCTCTGAGCAGGAAGTTGGAAAAATCCCCTCTGGCAGCGTCTCTTGGAACATTTGCACATTTTTGTGTGAAACATTAGGCAGCCCTGTGTGCCCCACACACTTCAAGGCCGTGTTTCGTGCACAACCTCTGCCTTTGGATCTGCTGCAGGTATTGTCACTCGGTGTCCCTTGGAACTAAAACTCAAGAGGTTGCCTGAAGGCCAGGCATGGCAAGGAAAGATCTCCTACCAAAATGTAACCCTGGAGCTCCAGAACGCCTCTGAGGTGGACAGAGCAATAAGGCAAGGTGAGTGGATTTGGCTGGCTTCATCTCCTCTGAATCCTCCTCTCAGACTGAGCAGCATCCACAGTGATTGTGGAGTAACACCAAGAGCTGGATGCAGAGCAGAAGAAGCTGGGTCAGCAAAACTCCCTTCTCTCCAGGAAGTTGTACCAGTGCTTCAGTGGTGAAGATGATCTATGATGATAATCCCAGAATGGCCTGGATTGGAAGGGACCTTAAAGGTCTTCTAGTTCCAACACCTTGGGCAGGGATGCCACCCACTAGATCCATGATCCTTTTATCCTGATCCATGATAAAGGCTCAGGCTATGTCCTTACCTGGGTGGTGGCTTCCTGGTTTGGGGAGGTTGTCTGTCAAATTGTAAACATGGAACCTAAATGGATCCTGTCATCAGCTCAAAAGTCCAGAGAGTGCTTGAGGTGTCTCTGGCTGGAAATGTTATTATTTTGGAGGAAATTGCAAGAGGTCAGAGTGGAGGACAGAGAACTTCTGCCAGGTACTGTGACCTCAGGCTCAGTCACTGTCCTTCACATATCTCACCTTTAGTGTTAGGGCATTTAATCCTGGGTAAGAAATCAGTGTTTTTACCCAAAGGGCAGTAAGCACTTGTCCTAAGTGTGAAAGTTGGATTGACCTTACTTCCTTGACTAGCACAGCTCTACACATTGTTATTCTTCCTAATTTTTTTAAATTACCTTTTCAATACATTATTTGGATATTCTCAAAACTGGCCAGGCAATTGGTATGAAATAAGTAAGGTAATTAGAGCTGAAAAATCTCCTGAGAATGACTGGAGTTTCCTTGCTTTTCTGTGTTCACAGTTTAAGCATTATTGCCTTGTAGTACCTGGGACAATTTACTCTCAACCTCTCTATCAAAATGTGAAGAATATAGAGCAACACCTATTTTTCTTTCAGGGCATCCAAGGATTAATTGATGCTTACAAAAACATCTCTTGTTGTTGATGGAGCATTTCTACACCTGACCAGTATTTTACCTGATACCTTTCATTATGGTTTATTTACATGCATTTTGTTTTGACATCACATCTTAGTTTGTTCTGCATGATAATTTCCTTAGATTTTTGCACAAATGGATTTAGGTGTGTGGCTGGATCTGAAAGAAAAAGCCAAGCCTGAAAGAACCTTAGGTGGCAGTTGGTACTTTTCAAAGTCCTTGTGTTCAGCTTTGGTTTGATGCATCATTTGAAGCTTGTATTCATTGCCTTGCTCTCTTCACAGCCCAGAATGTTGTGGCCGGTCCTAGAGGTGCCATTAGTGGGCAGTTAATTTCCCTGGAAGTTCGGTCCCCTGATGTCCCAGACCTGACACTAATTGATCTGCCTGGAATTGCCAGGGTGGCCGTGGGGGACCAGCCAAAAGACATCGGGGACCAGGTAAAACTCAGCCTCCTGTGCCAGTCTGTGCCCTTAATGGGTCCCAGCAGACCCTTTGTGAAGTAAACAGAGTAAGTGGAGGGGATCTCTGCTCTTCCTCTGGCTGCTTTTAGAAGAAATGCTGGGGAATGCAAATAAAACTTTGACTGGAAAAGGCCTGCTGTGAGGCTGATGTGTAGGAGTTGGGTGTGTTGTTTCTCCTAAAACACCTTTAAATGGGAACTTGGAATAAGAGGAGCTCAAACGAAACTAGGTATTCCAAACAGAAATGAGACAAGATTGGATTGTCTGGGCTTTCCTCTCTGGGAGGAGGGTAATTTAATTGCACACTTAGATAGCAATCTTTCTATTGTATTGAGAAGAAAACAGCAGATGTGATAAAATCCAAACATTTCTATTGTCCCCAGCTGTCTGCATGCTCCAGAGATGGAGTCTACAGCATTGTAGCCTGTCAGAAACTGGGATGGGTGGGAAGTAGAGAAGAGAGGCATCTTTACCAAAATCCAGGGGGAAAAAGAGAATTGATTTACTGTGTAATAAGTGCAATAGTGCCCTGTGAAGCTTCTGCAAAACAACACAAATTATGAGGAACTTGTTTAGTTTGGCATTGAAACATAGAAAAATGACAACTAGATGTCACGTGAAGCTTCAGTTTTGGCGCTTTTTCCTACAAATATTCCACTGAAATAGAACCCAAAGACATTTGTGCTCCTTTCAAAGATACAAATTGGAGATTTATCAGTATAATCAAGCTTGCTTTCTTTCCAAAAGTAGATACCTACACATCAGAACCTGGTTTTCTTCCATGTGATTAGATATCAAATACCTTTAATATTTCCATAATGAAAGATTATATATGCACAAGAGGTTAAACTCACATACCTGTCAAGACAGGCTTAACAACATTAGTCTGGTCTCATTCATGCCAGAAGTTTGGATTAATCCTGACATAAGGAAAGAGGCTGCATTCTTCTGCTGACCCCTTTCCATGCCATCCTCCAGCATGTAACACTGTCCTCAGCACATGTGGCATTTAATGTCATTAGGCTCATATTGCTAGAAATTGTCACATCCTACATCTGATTTCACTGAACCTCCTCACTGCTGTATTGAATTGCAGATCAAAATGCTACTTAAAAGAACTATTGGCTGCAAAGAGACAGTGAATTTGGTAGTGGTTCCATGTAACGTGGATATTGCAACAACAGAAGCATTGAAAATGGCTCAAGAGGTGGACCCCACTGGAGAAAGGACAATAGGTGAGATAATTTTTAACCTATGAGCTAAAAAGGATGCCAAATCTTCACCCCCATCATGAGGTCTGATGTTCTGTGCTCTGCACCAGATATGTGAAATTAGCTACTAGAAGAAGAGGGAAAAACAAAGAAAACAGCCTGAAGAAAATATTGGCAAGTATTTCTAGTCACAATTCTTGAGCAGCTCCTATAATCCCTTCATTTGGTGTCTTGCTGGCACTCTTGTTATGAATAACTGGAAGCTGAAATCAGTTAATGGTAGTAACTACCAGTTAATGGTAGTTGATCTGAAGTTAGTGGTAAAAAAGCTTTGCTTTTTGAGTGTTAAAAAAAGGTTTGCAATGCAAAAGGCACGGTAGGAGGCCAACTGTAGCATGAGTTTTACAGCCCAGGAACTGAGAGCTTTCTAGGAGAGAGAATACCCAAAAAAATTGCATTATAAAACACGGTACAGAGTGTTCCTGCTTGGTGGTTAACTTTCTCTTTTAATTTCACAGGAATCCTCACAAAACCCGACCTGGTGGACAGGGGGACCGAGGAGGCTATCGTGAACATACTGCAAAACAGGGTAATCCCCCTCAAAAAAGGCTACATGATCGTGAGGTGCCGTGGGCAGCAGGACATCCACAACAAACTCACCTTGGCTGCTGCAATCCAACAGGAGAGAAACTTCTTTGAGAATCACAAATATTTCAGGTACTTCTCACAGAAAAGTTCTCATCAAAAACATGTTAGAGTCACCTCAGAGCTTCCTGTTGATTTGCTGAGACTCAACTAAGGGGTTACAAACAGGTATTAGTTATACTCAGTATTTCTCATTGCCCATGTAGGGTTGTGTTTCAGTAACCCAGATGTTTTTTACATACCAAACTTTTTCAAAAAAATTTTTTTTTGGTTTGTCTATTTTAGGGTTGATTTTTTTTGGCTGCAAAATACATGGGGGAAGTGCTATGAACTTTAGAATTTCTGAATAGTCCCAAAGAATTCGAGTTAAAGCATCTGAGCACTTCAAGTCAGGCACTGAAGTATTTCTGTTCACTGGAAAGCATGGAGGAACAGCATGAGAAAGGCTGTGCTGAGGGCACAGGCTGCCCAGATGACTCAGCAGCAAATCAATCATAATACAGAGACTGGCAGCTGACAAGGGTTTTGAATCAATGAACTTCACACATGAAGAAATAATAAAATAGTGCAATCAGCTGCTGTTAGAATTTGGTTTTTTCAGATTTTTCTCTGTTTCCCTTTGCTCAGTCAGTAGCTGTCAAACAACTCTTGGATAAACATGCCCAGAGAGTCCTGAGCTGTTGCCACATCTGCATCAGCATGGCCCAGAGATCCTTTCTTTACTCAAATTGTGTAATAGAATTAGTAAAAATAGGGCAGAGCATCAATGCTGCTTCCTTGCCCTGCACAGCCTGGCTATCCAAACACACCTTTTCCTTTTTTTTTTTTCCACAGGGCTCTTCTGGAAGAAGGAAAGGCTACTATCCCCCATCTGGCAGAGAAGCTCACAAATGAACTTGTGAAACACATTATTGTAAGTAACAGAGGTCCCATACTGAGCTGCTTGTGTCAGTTACTAGCTAAAAACAAGTTCAACCCTTCAACCTTGGACTGTAGCTGGATTTCATCTTTGTATGCTTAATGATCCTTCAACTCAGTGCTCTGAGAACAAACAGAACTGAGAGGCAGAGGTAAAAAGCCCCATGCTCTGTCCTGAGATTTGCCTTTTAACTGCAGATCAACAATAAGCAAATTATTTCATCTATTTGTGACTCATAATTCCTGCCTTTTCAACAGCAACCATGATATTTCTTTTTATCAGTGTTGATCACCTGGGTGACAAGTTACTGAAAATGTCTTCAGAACATCCAGATGTTCTATTATATTTATATTCTAATGTAAGGATATTGGGGGGGTTTATTTGGTATAAATATGTCTGTATGTAATATATCTTATTCCATTAAGAGAAGAGGCTAAAATATAGGGAACATCTAAGCTCAGTCTCAGAGGAGAAAAAAAAAATTATGTAAATTTACAGAAAATAAGCAACTAAACAGCCATGTTCCATCAGGTATTTATCAGGAATTGAGCAGTCATCACTCTCCTGGCACAACCTGTGAGGACATTGTTTTTGGCTCACTGTGAAATCTTGCCCTAGACTGCAGCTACTCTTCCCAGCTCTCAGTGAGATCCAGCCTGATCCCTCAGGAAGATCCTGGCTCCTGCATTCCCTCAATAAAGTCCATATTTTCTCTTCCATGTTGCCCCCCTATCACACATGGGACACTGACAGCAAGCTCTCAGATTTATAGAAACAGCAAAGATCCCTTGCAGGTGTAAGTTACTCTTAGAGGGATTTTGTTTTCCTTCTAAAACCAGACAGGTTCAACCTATCTCAATTTCCTTCTTCACTGTCTCCTCCCCAGAAATCTTTGCCAGCGCTGCAGAGCCAAATTCGTGACACCCTGCATAAAACATTACAGGATCTGCAAAGGTACAAGAGAGGCACACCCCAAACTGAGTCTGAGAAGCTGTTTTTCCTCACAGATGTAAGTATCAGTATTGGTCACAGAGCAAGGCAAGGAGGTAACTGTGGGAGAAAAAGAAACCACCTGAACTTATCAAAACTTCAGCATGGACCACCAGGAAGTTTGTGGTTTCCATCATTTCAGTGAGGGCAACATAGACAAACCACACTTGCAAAAATAAGACACCACAGGAGCTCCTGGCCCCTTCTAGCAATTTTTTTCCTGTGATTATGGGACAAGAAAGCTAAACAATTTGATTTTGATTGGATCAAAATCAAGCATCTCAGCAAGGGAAAACTTAAAACTCCTGCCTGCTCAACACTTTGAAGGGTTCCCATTGTTTACAGCACTCATAAGATCAAATGTATTCCTGATATCCAAATGTGGTTTGCAAGTCCATCTTCTGAGTTCCTCATCTCAGGGAGTTACTCCCTGATTAAGCCCTCAGTAGGCACTAGAGGTGTTTATGGAAGTTCATCAGGCTTCATACAAGCCTGGCCTATTAAAATTTAGTAAATGGTTCTAAAAGTCTACAGGGGGAAAACCAAAAGGGTATCAAGTTTATTCTCCTCTAGCATTGAGAGTTTGGGGGGGAAAAAATAAAAAAAAAACAAACAAACCAGGAGCTAAGAGCATAAAATATGTAAGAAAGGGATGTTTTCTATGAACTGTGTCCCTGCTTTATCATCAAACAGCTGCAGATTTACAAATTAGTCTGAAGAAATGAAACTTCACTAAATTGCCTGCTTGTTGCTGGATTCACTGCAGTTGATCAAACTCTTTAACCAAGACATCTGTCGGACCATTCGGGGAGAGGAGGAGCTGTTTGGAGATGAGGTCAGGCTGTTCACCAAGATCCGCAAGGAATTTCGCAAGTGGGGCGTGATCCTCCTGGAGTGTGCTTCGAGGGGTAAGCACAGAACCTGGCAGGGTGTGACACTGGTGGCTGGGTTCTTTTTCCCAGGAAGAGACTTGTTTTCTCATACTCTGGCTCAGTTGTTTATTCTTTCTTATTTATATTACATATTTACAGAGTACAAGAAGCTATATACACTGGGGAAGCAAGGTGCAGAATGGAGAGTGAAGAACCTCTCCAAGGTCTTTTTTGTGTCTATTTATCCAATTATCAAAATTTCCCTAGTGACCCAGTGACCTGACACCTGTGTGCTGCACTGCAGATTTTCTATCCAATCACTCATTATTACCCAAAAACCCTTAGAAGAAGATGAAGAAGGAAGAGGAAGGAGAAAGGGACAATGCCCTAAATCCTCCATCTTGTCTCTTATTTTCTGGTATAGCTTAAACCCTAAACTCATTCTCACCCAGTGACTTAAGAAAACTGTCTACTTACACACTCATTCCCAGTTTTTCTGCTTAACTTTAAAAGCTGTCTCCATGGTTTTATGCCAAACTCAGTGCTCTCTTGGGTGTCAGAGCCAGGCACCACAGATAAGGGTCTATTTTCTGTGCCTCTGACCCCAACAAGAGCCCATCCCCTTTATTTAAACCTAGACACAGCATCTTCAGTAAATGTTTTTCAAGAAAATTAAGAGTAAGAAGGCAGGAGCATCCATCTGTTGTGGTGTTTTGAGGACACAGACAGAGTTTGTTGTTAAATGCTGTCATTAAAGAGAGGTCAGTGCTTATCTTTCTTCTCCCAGCACAGCAATAAAATCAAGACAGTGGCATAGAATTTGTTGGTGATTTTCTGAACCATTCTTCTAAATAACAGCAACACCAGTGAATAATAATAAATAATAACAGTCTAGATAATATTTTTTTTATTATTACTCTTAATGTTTTTAATTTATTATTGCTATTAATATTTTAGAATCTGAGTGGGGTTTGTTCCACTTTAGCTCTGGGCCAAGGTGATACCTCATAAAAAAAAATAGCAAATTTATATAATATCAACAAATAATGTGATAATAAATAGGAATAACTAGTCAACAGTAGATTCCCTGGAAAAATATGTTTAGTGAGCTTGGGGGTTTGTTTTGTTCAGGTTTTTTTTTAAACTTGGAAGTGACTGGTAATGGCCAGCTACTTCTGACCATGAAAAAGTGAAAAATGGTAAAAATACCAAGAACCAGAATTTTTGTGGTCCATCATAATTTCTGTCAGTCAGATGCTTGATGCAGTGTGTGAGATGGCTCATTCAGAGAGCAACAAGCTAGCTCTGTTCTGTGGTAACAAAAAATCATCTCAGTACCTTTTCCCCTCAAGAACAGCTCAAAGATGAGAAACAGACTTCCTTCTTAAACCTGAAGTGCATCCATTGAGTGATTTAGTAACAAAGCAATATTATTTTACCATTACAGCTAAAAAAGCTGTCCCTGACAGAGTGTGGAAATACGAAGACCAGTACCGTGGACGGGAGTTCCCAGGCTTCAGCAACTACAGGACTTTTGAGGATATTGTAAAAGAGCAGATCAGAGAACTGGAGGAGCCAGCAATTGAGATTCTCAACAATGTGATGAGTATGGCCCAGGCCATGGGAGGCTCTGGTGTGGGGGACACTGCTGGGCCTGACAGCTTTATTTTCCAGGAGAAGCTGATGCTCTCACTGATGCTCTCAGGGTCCTTCAGAGTGTGGAAGTAAATCTGATTCAGCTTGTGGATTGCTCCTTCTCTAGAGCCTTCAATCTCTACACATGGTCTCCAGCATTTGTTAATACTTTTTCCAGTGGCTTTTGGAAGGGAAGTAGAAAATAACTATATCATAAATAACACAGCAAGGAAACAGTACAGCAGAAGCACCTGGTGCCAAGTGGTCACCTTCCTGGACCTGGAAATCTGAATTTTTACTTGTTTGTATGTGTCATAAAGGCAGAGTGCACCAGTACAGCAGCACAGCTATTTCTGAATGAATACAGAAAATGACTAGTCTCCCAAGTGTCATATTAACAATAGCTTAGAACCCTCACTTACTTACCTGACTTTATTTTGTCTCTCTGTTCTTCCCCTAGAACTGGTTGAAGAGAAATTTATGGAACTTACTAACAAGAATTTTGCTAATTTTCACAATCTAAACAGAGTTGCCAAGGTGAGGCACTACCTACAATCTGATATTCTCAAAAGACAGAATGGCATTTGTAAATACATCTATGCTTATGGTACCTGCCTCACTGCATTACCCTTATACAAGTGGGGAATTTCTTGCAGGAAAATAAGAAAGATCCCAAAAATGATAGCATGGTTATAATGCCACTAATTAAAGTGCATTTTGTACAGCTTTGACAAGATCTAGTACATACATTCTTTATTCATTCTTGACATTTGCAACACAAAGCAAAGAAAACCTGGTGTGGCTACTTTGAAGAGTTTATCATTAATTTCAGATTTAAGTGCTGCAGTGATTTGTCAGAGTGCTGAACTGGTTTTAGGTGTTTTTCACCTCTCTGAAAGCAAGCCAGGGTTTTAGCCAGTGCAGGAATCTCATCTTTGATGAAAGGGAGCAGGAGCAAACAAACCAAAAATCATCCAGCCATGAAAAAACCAGAAATGGCTGTTTACAGTTTGGGTATTAGCATGTTTTGGGGTAGAGTTCAGTGATATGTATCCATGAAGGCCTTCTCTCAGAAAAAGCTTTGAGAAAAAGATGAGAAGCAATGCTGGCAGCCAGGAAACAGAGTCCACTCACAGGGTACTGCTGAAGAAGGAAACTCAGAGGCAAATGTGAGTGTAATAGGTGGTTTGCTCTTTCACTTGCATGGTCAAACCCTACTGAGCTCCCAGGCCAGCCAGTGAACAAATAAATTATTTCATCCAAACACAGAGGTGTTCAGGCAGGGTCTTTAGAGAGCTCCACAGTGAGAGGAATGAAGAGGGAAGAAGTTCTGGCAAGCACTGGACTTCAGAAAAAAGATGGGGTGTTTTCTTAGGGATGCTAGGAAAGCATTTTGAGGTAATTTGAACATATCTGAGGGAACTTTGCCACCCCCACAGACTTTTAGAAGGCCACAAAGCATCAGGTGGCTGGAATAAAAGCACCAGAGAGGGGTTAGACGGGGTTGGTTTGCTGACAACAGATATTTTCCTTTGGGTTTCAAGCACCAGGTTTGGACTGATTCCACTTGTGTGTAAGGGGAGGACAAAACTGCCACATTTTCCTGCTCTTTCACAACAGAGGCACCACAATCTGAACCATTACTCCATGTTCCCAACTTCTGAGATTAGACAGTGCTGCACAAGGGCAGTTAAACACTGTGCCCACCTTGCCATTCCCTGGGGACGCTGCTGAGCACTGGCACCTTCCCAAAGGAAGCAAATGTCTCAGAACTTCTTGTTCCTTTCTTTTCTAGGTGAAAATTGAAGACATTAGGGAGAATCAAGCGGCAGAGGCCGAAAGACAGATCCGGACACAGTTTAAAATGGAGAGGATCGTGTACTGCCAGGATGACCTTTACGTTGGTGATTTAAACTCTGTTAAGGCAGAAAACGCTCCAAACGCGTCCCTGGGGACAAATCTGCAGTTTATTGGTCTAGACGAGCCCTCTGTTGCCACGGAGATGGTTTCTCACACCAGTGCCTATTTCTCTGTGAGTTCACAGGCTGTGATGGAGCAGATTTGCTGCTCCCTGAATGCTACAGCAGCTTCCCCTCAGCCAGGTCTTGCTGGAGTCAGTCCAGCCTTGTATGCCACACTGGTACTGTGGAGGGAATAGCCAGGGGCTGGCTAAGTGTCTCATTCTGCTACATGCTCAGCTTCTGTACAAACTTCTTGGAGCTTCTGACCAGTGATGAGTGTGGGCTGTATCAGCAGGTTGCAGGACTCAGGATATGGTGATTAGAAAAGCCTGAAGGGGCCAAAGTGACAGCTGGCTCCTAAACCACTTGTTAGCTACCTGCCAGCCTGGCTCAGGTCAGCCCCAGGCCACTCTGCACATTCCTGCAGGCAGCAGAAAGCAGTGGCAGTGGCTTGCAGTCAGATCCTGAACTACTACAGCAGGAGGAGCAATGACAAAATGCTACGTTAAAACATATCAGCTGGCTGTAGAGATCAGAGTGCATCTGCTGTATTGCAGATAGCACCGTGTAAGTGAAGTCTCTGAAGACAAATGGGGTGTTTATATAATATAATAAAGGATCATGTTAAAGAAAGAAAAGAGAACACACACTATCAAGATTTGCTTAGTCATAAAACTCGCTCTGAAAGCAACAAGTTCAATATTAATAATTCAGGAAGGTAGGTAGCAGCTCACTTGGAATTCCAAGAGCAGGCTTTGTGACAAATTCCTGCAATTAAATGGCCAGGCTGCTCAGGCTGATGAAGAGAAAATCATTGGCTTTCTTAGAACAAGAAACAAAGCCAGAAGTGCATAAGCACTTCCATCCCATCTTGCTACACACTCTGCTACATGTTTCATCTGCAGTTAAATATTTTTGTAAATGCCCTTAGAACCATTTTCAGCAAACCCCAAGTGCCAGGGCATCATAGCCCCATGGGACTGACTTATGCAAGGCCAAATACAGTTTGAATGAGATGGAAGCTCTTAAGTGTCCATGGCTGCCTTATAAATGTCATTTTCAAGTCATACTACAAAAAAGAAAGACAGAACCTCTCAATTGCAACCAGGCACTTGGGTCTAAGTGCTCACCCAGCACCGGGAGGGCTGGAGGCAGCCATTTGCCAGAGCTGGGAGAGGTTTAGAACCTCATGTTGCCCAAAAGCACCAGATGGGCCCCCAAACCCTGTGGATGTCCATGGGGAAAGGGCCCCACAAGCTTTTCGGGGTCAACCTGTTTCAGTTTGCATCCATAAATCAACCAGGCAGTTGGTCAGGTCAGACAGAAGATAGCTCATGGAGATATTAATAAATGTAATGTAGGCACACTCTGGTCTCTCTATTGCTGAAGACATTTCCCCTTAGGCTAAAGCTTCCTCCAAAGCTGTCTGAAACTTAAAAGAACAACCACATCAGAAATACCATCTAACAGAGGAATTTACCAGCTTTAGGAAAAATCACTTTCTGATTTCCTGCATCAAAACCTATTGTTAGCATTCAGTGAAGACAGGCTGGACACCAGGAACTGTGCACAAGTTCTGTTTGTCAGGAATGTCCCCCTCTAAGTTGTCCCAGTGACAGCTAGCAGAGCTGAGCAGAGAACAGCCTGCCTTGGCTTTAGTTTGCTGGGGCAAGAGAAGCAACAGCTGACATCCCCATGACTCAAATCAAAAAATGATTAATTTTTCTATTTCAGGCACAAAAGACATTGGTTACAAACATTTTTTTAGTTCATAGCAGTACTCCCTTCTTGAACAGTAACTCAGTTCAACATTTCAAAACCTTGGAACCATTTTTTTTTACCAGATTACCTATAGCCCTTTCATTTTTTTTCACCAATTTAGTGTTTTGCCCTTTTTTCCCCCCCATCTTGCAGGGAGCAAGTAAACGCCTCTCCAACCAGATACCTCTGATCATCATATCTTCTGTCCTTCATGACTTTGGAGAAAATGTGCAGACCTCAATGCTGCAACTGTTACAAGATAAAGAGAGGTTAAACTTTCTCCTTGATGAGGACACTGAAGCTGCTAAAACCAGGAATTACCTCAGCCAAAGAATCGATCGTCTGACCACAGCCTGCCAGTACCTGAGAGACTTCCGCCTCTTGTGATTTGTTTCTCATGAGGTTTTTTTTCTCCTTATCTTCTAGCACTCCTGAAGAATTTAATATAATCCCATAAAAATGTGATGTCAGCCCAGACCTTTAATAATAATTTCTAGTGCTCAGTTTTTCTTTATTTTTCATAATCAGTTGTATGCAAACAGCTGCCTTTGCATAAAGAGTTCCACTGGTGGAGTTGTGATTAAATAAACATTATCCCATGTTTAAACATTTTCTTTATAAATTCTGTGCAACCACTGGAATAATTATTAAAAAGCTAACACACTTAGGATTATATGTTTTGTTGGGTTTTTTTCCTCTTTTTAATGATGGAAGCTGTATAATTCACAAACTGTAGAAATCAAATTATCTAGCTTTCCTCAATGAAGCTTAGTGCACAACACTCATGATCTCCCACTTCCCTTTGTGTTTTGGTCTTGCTGGGATTGTTCTCTTTCCTGCCATCACCTAAAAGACACCTCTGCAAGCACAGTGGGCATGAAACCATCCCAGTCTAGAAAGAAAGGAAAGTTTATTTACTTTATGTGACCAGAGGATGTCATTGGCTCTGTTCAGTCTCCTTTCCCAGCTGATTTGCAGAAGGGCCAGGATGTCTCAGATGTCTGCAGCATCACCTGAAATTTTGGGACTGACACTAGAACCCACTGAACTCACTAGAGGGCAGGATTTAGATGTCCAAAAGGAAAGAAACCTCCAGGACATTAAACATTACACAGGTGTCTCATGTGTTCTGCTGCCTTCCTCCTTTCCCTCCCCAGGGCAAGGAGAACCTTTCCAAAAGCTCTTCCATTTAATGGAAGCCAATGCAAAATAGATCACACACTGTGTTTATGACATCTTTCACAGGGGAGATTTGGTTTAATAACCAAAAGCACCAAAAGTAATGCCTGCATCCAGCTAGAAAAAATGTGCTTATACCAGTGTGTGATGCAGGAATTTCCAGGTTTCTTACAAGAGAAGCCTTCCCCTCAGGGCAGCTATGACAGAAAGTGTTTGTCCCTGTGGCGTGGAACTGGAGCTGGTATTTTTTTTTGATACATTTTTGTACAGCATTCACCCCAACATCCATGTTCCTTAACCTTGTTGAACCCCTTTCTTCCAGTACATTATTTTGCTATTATTGACTTGCAGTGCTGCAGGTCAGGAGCCACAGAAAACGTGCCTCATACCTGTAACAACTCAATCTTTTAATTTCTGCTTTGAAAGTACTTTAAACTCCTTGGTTATTTCACAGTATCCCCCCATCCCCCAAGGGGCACTTGATGCACAAATGCTACTGAAAACACACCCATCTCACACCTGGAGAGGAGAGACACATTGCTGCAGGCAGCAAGAGGCAGAATGACAAAATAGGGTGTGACTCCCTCAAGCCACTGCCTGCAGGCTAAACTTCCTTATTTAATTCAATTAACTCAGAGTCATTTCATCAGACACAGCCACCAAAGACACTCAGCATTCCTGGACATCTTGCTCTGTTTTCCCTGGGTTTGTTCAAGGACCTGAAATATCAGAATTAAAATAATCTCTTGGCTCACCCTCTTGAGTTGCTTTTCTCCTTTTTTTGTTTGTTTGCTGTTGGTTTTGATTTTTTTTTAATTAGACACTCAAAGCACTTCATACACTGAATCCAGCAACTGCTTAAAAAAAAAAAATAAATCCAGGTAAACAGATATGAAGCACGACTAAAGAAAACTGTTTGTTACAAAAAAAAAAAA